GGTGTAATGAACGATATCTTTTCATGGTCTGGGGGGGTGCATGCTAATCTGGTTATACCCAGAATATGCATCCAAGAAGGTGAGCAGCTCATGTCCCGCAGTGGTGTCGATAAGGAGATCAATTTGTGGTAATGGGTAGTTGTCTTTTGGACACAACTTGTTGAGCTCAGTAAAGTCGACACAGAGACGCCACTTCTCATTAGCTTTAGTCTCCATCACTACATTTGAGAGCCACTCAGAATAGGCCACTTCTCTGACTGCTCCGTTCTCTATCAACTTTCCCACCTCTTTTTTCATCGCTTGAGCCCTTTTAGTAGAGACACCCCTTAGCTTTTGGCGAACAAGCTTGTGGTGAGGGTTGACTTTAAGGTGGTGTGTGGTGACCTCAGGGTCAATACCCTCGAGGTCTACATGTGACCATGCAAAGATGTCCATGTTGAGCCTTAGAAAGTCCATTAGCTAGTGGACCAAATCCTCAGAAAGGGAAGAGATGATGTATACCTTTCGGTCCGGATATTCCTTATCTAGGACCACTGATCTAAGCTCTTCTACTGGTTCTCCTCTTTCCAACTTGGTATCATCTCGCGGGTCAAGGACCTCCACTTGCAATGCTTATTATGATTTTTTAGTCTTCATTGAGGAGATGTAACACTCTCTTGCAGCTACTTGATCTCCTTGGATCTCTTCGACTCCGTTCAAAATTGGGAATCGGAGGATAAGATGGTAGGTGGAAGGCACAGCTCTTAGGGTGTTGAGAGCTGGTCGCCCTAGGATAATGTTGTAGGCAGAAGGGTAATCTATCACCAGGAAGTTGACTATGACCTTGGAGCTACGGGGTGCCACTCCGACAATGACAGATAGGGTGATGGACTCTAGGGGATACACATTCTCCCCTAAGAATCCAATGAGGGGCGACTTGATGGGCTGCAATCTTGCTCTGCCCAAGTTGAGTTTGTCATATACCTCTGCGAACAAGATATCCGTAGAGCTTCTGCTGTCCATGAGAATCCTTCGTACTTGGAAGTTGACAACTGTCATGGTGAGACCCAGAGGGTTGTCATAGGGGCACTGGATCCCTTCCAAATCTTTGTCTGAGAAGGATATGACCTCACTATTGTCATACTTGGGCGCTTTAGATGGGCGCAATTCCTCGGGGTGCTTAGCTTTTCTGGCATGAGCCTTCATAGCGGAGAGGGATTCTCCTCCCCTTGCAAGCCCTCTGGAGATGGTGTGAATTTCTCCGATAGGCTGTTGGTCTTCCTAATTATGGGGTGGTGCTGGCGCTTATCCCTACCAGCAACATACTGGTGTAAGTGACCCCATTAGATGAGCTCCTCAATCTACCTTTTTGAGGTTATAGCAATCATCGGTGTCATGGTCATGGTCGTGATGGAAGCGAAAATATTTGTTTGGGTTCCTTCGATTTGGGGGAGACTTCATTCTCCCAAGCCACTTTATTGCGGGGTCATCCTAGATTTGTAATAGGATGTGCCTGATGACGGCATTGAGAGGAGTGAAGGCTTGTCGATCTCTCTGAGGAGCAAGACCGAGCCGATCTTTGGCAGACACTCTCTCCGTCCTGCTATGCTTGTTAATACTCTCCTTCTTATCATCTCTGTCTTTTTCTTTTCTTTTCTCTCCAGCTCTAGAGGACTTTCCTCGTTTGGCCCTTGTAATGTCCTCGGCATTCATGTATTTCTAGGCCTTCGCCAACAACTCTGGTATGCTCTTCGGTGGGCGCTTCATTACAGAGAAAAGAAAACTTGATGACCGGAGGCCCCCTAGGAAGGCGGTCATGCTTACCTTATCATCGGGCTCCTCGACCTGAAGAACCTCCTCGTCAAAACGAGTGAGGTAGCTCCTCAGACTTTCATCTCGGTCCTGCTTTATGCTGAGCAGGTGGGTGGCAGGCTTCTGGTGGCGGCGTCCTCCAATGAAGTGTGACATGAAAGACCTGTTCAGCTCAACAAATGTGCCAATGGAGGCTGAGGAGAGTTTGGCGAACCATTGTCGAGTGGATCCCTTCAAGGTGGTTGGAAACGCTCTACACATGATTTCGTCTAGGACGTTGTGCAGTTGCATCAAGGTTTTAAAAGTTTCAAGGTGGTCCAACGGATCCTTCGTACCGTCAAAGGCCTCAACGGATGGCATCTTGAGCTTTTGGGGGAGTGGATAGTTTGCTACGTCAGGTTTGAAAGGTGTGTCAGTTCAACTTACGAGGAAGTCTACTGTCTCGGGGCCCTGCGCCTTCATGGTGTTGAAAATGTCACCTAACTGATTTTGCACCTTTTTAATTTTTTCGTCTCATTGATTGAGAGGAAGTACTCTGGAATTATCACAAAAATGGCTCTCATACTCCATGCTTTGGTTTTCACCCTTGTCCTCTTGGAGAGGAGGGTCTCTATCATAGGGAGTCGGAGTAGGGGTTGGAGGAGGACCCTCATGGTGAGCCCCCTGTGTGGGGCGCACAGGGGGGGCGACTGGATGGGGAACGCCAAGGTGAAGAGCTCCTTGATGACCAGGGAGTGGAGCTTCCCTAGCTTGAGGTCCAGGCTGTGCCCTTCCTTGTTACCCGAGTATTAACTGCAGAATCTGCTGATTCTGGGCCACGAGCTATTGCATGGTCTCCAGCATCTACTGCACATTTGGGGTGGGATTGGCAGGCAGAGGAACAATCTCCTCCTCTCGTGGTGGATTGTCTTCAAGGGGATTCATCGATCTGACGGTGACGAAGACAGATTTAACAAAGAAAGTGTCGCTTCCCACAGACGGCGTCAAACTGATGATGCACAAAATCAATTTGCACACCCCCTATCAATTAAACAATATAAAATGCAGTAACTAGAGGGATAGAGAAGACAAGATTTATAGTAATTCGGCCAATAAGACCTACGTCCACTTTTAATGGCTAGATTCGCCAAAAATTTGATTGACTCCGGTACGTTGGGAGAGCAAGAATTACAAGAGGGAGAGGGGATGAGCTTGATTTTTTATGAGATGCCCCCCAAGTGTTGGAGGAGCTTACAATTTATAGAAGTCTGTGTAGTAATTGAGTAGCTTGACAGTTATAACGGACTGGAGTCAACTTAATAGCTGATGACCTCTCCTCTTCTTGGCGACCTCTCATCTTCCTCAACTGGCAAGGGTATAGCTCCTGGATGCTCTCGTAGCTCCATGATGGGCTTGACAGTCTTGGACCTCATAGGGGGCTTGCTTGGTCTTCTATAAACTTGGACTTTTTCCCATGGATTGAGTTATTTAGACTTGACCCATCAATTTTCATATTTTATATTTCTTTTAAACAAATTTAATTAGGTAAAATACTTCCTAATGTTTGATTGAATTCAAATCTATTATTCCTGATTTCAGGTTATGGGTGCCAGAGTGAGACATTTTTACTGAACTTGGAGCTTAAAGTGAATGTCTGATTATTAATTTTTGTGAAATGAAGTTAAATTGATATAATATTAACTCTAGAAAATAAACATAAAATAATAATTTTCCTTTTGATGAACACGAGGAGGGAAAAACACTTACTTTGCAGATGGAATATCACAAAACTTATGAAAAGGTGTATATCCCATTCTTTTTCATGTGGGGTGAAATGAATTTGTAATTCTTAGGGAAGGTTAAAAAAATTTTTACGGAAGGTAAAATAAACTTTAAAGTGAATTTGTAATTCTTAAGTATACGATTAGGGTTACTTTAGTACTCAGTCGTTTAAGAGAAATACTATTTAAGTATAAAAATATGGAGAAAATATTCATTATAATGGTGATATCCCGTGATAATGTGATGTGATATCGCCAACTAATAATAAAATTTCAAAAGTAAATGGACCACACAAAAATTAATAACCAACTTATCACGTGAGTAAATAACTCCCCATTAATTCTTCTTCCATAAAAGTCCAAGTGGAGTTAACATTACCTGCTTGGGGTTTATTAATGGTTGGTGATACCATGTTATCAGTGGTGACATGATATCACCGTTGTATTCAATATTTATTCAAAAATATGACATAATTAGCTGACATAATAATGTAGTTTCATTGGAACCACTGAATTAACAGCAGATTTCAATGTTTGATAAGACTCATAGTCAATCAAAAAGTCATAATTTATTAGGGCAGCAAATTAGGTTCCATTAGAATTGCTCTTCATTTTAATTATGCACTTTAGTCTCTCAAGTTTTAAATTTATATCACAAAGGTTCAATATAAAAAGGAGATTTAAATTAATTAGTGGATGTAGTTAATTACACGCGTCTCATGTGACAACACTCAACGGGTGACCTCTCAAATGCCACTTCGGTCCTTCAAGTTTAAAAAATGCCACCCAAATTGAATCAAATGAAATAAATTAAAAAAATAATGTTATATGAACTTAAAAATTAGATTTAATAATCACAATTATTGAATATATAGTGAATTCTTATAAATACTAGGATCCACAGTAAAAACAATGGTTAGAATTATTAAGTTTAATTTTTAATTCTATGCAGCATTGCTCAAATTAAAATATTAGTGGACTAAAGTGGCAGAATTGAAATAATTAATAAGGATTAAAGGCAGATGGAAAATACAATTTTGGAGCTAAAGTATTTATTTCATGAATATCAAAAAAATTCAAAGGTGGAAAATACAATTTTGGAGTTTATTTAACCGCCACTGGCTCGAAGGCCTCCACATAATTCTTCTGTTTTTTTTTTCCTCCATACTAACACTGAACTTAAAATATTAATTAGCCGCCAAACCGTGATCAATTAGCCGCCTTTGCGAGAGAATCTCTTGGAAGCTTCTGAACTAATCCTAAACTACCAAGAGTTTGCATGAGATGAAACCATTGTCCCTGTAAATATAGCAATAGCAGTCAACCCCTCTCACGTACAAAGCCTAATTTCCAACAGAGTATTGAGATATGGTGGTGCCAAACGTTCCAGTGGGTTTTATTTTTTACCCAACAGAGAGAGAGTTGATGTGCTATCTTTTGCGCAAGGCAATGGGGCAGCCATTGCCGTGCAACGATGCCGTGACAGAGTGTGATCTTTATGGTCAAGTCGAGCCGATGGATCTATTTGCGGGATCTGAAGAGGAAGTTGTTTATGTGTTCGCCAAGTTGAAGAAGAAGAGTGAGAATAGCAGTCGAATAGAACGCAAGGTGGCGGAGAAGGGTACATGGACCGGGGTCAATAAAAAGAAGCCTGTAATGGATGGAAGAAATAGATATATTGGATGGAAGAGAAACTTTGTTTACGAGATCACAAAGGGAAAGGGAAAGGGCAAGGGCAAGGGCAAGGCCAAAGCCGGATACAATATGAAAGAGTATAGCCTTCTTGATTCTGCTCTCAACCATGAAAAGGTATGTAAATCTCTCTTCTTTTCTTTCCCATTCTCAAAACACATAGGATTTGTTTGGTTCTGCGTTAGTCTTATGATTAGGCCTTATTTTATCAAGATTTAATTAAGTTTAATGTTTAATATTTAGTAAATTTTCGGTTTAGGCCCTATTTTTTGTTGAGTCGCCGTGTTCTTTGTCTAGGTTTTATGTAGATTTTTTATTAAAATTATGAAAACCAGTCTTGCTTATCCATTTTCTACTCGAACCAAATAAATTCTTTAAGGATCTCATTCTTTTTCTTGTTAGCTAACCAAAATTAAATGACTTGATTATCAGGTGAAATTCAAGGACTATGTCCTTTGCTGCATCAAGAAGAAAAAACTTCCGGAAAGACATGTCTCACGGGAGAACTTGGAAGAAACAGCAGAGAATTACCAATCAGCCATGGTAGTCGCTGCAGAAGATGATTTTGAAGTTGCTCCATTGCCAAACCACAAATTGATTCAGTCGGGCCCCTTGTTGTTGCCCCAGACTGAAGGATACCAGCTTCAAGATTACACAGCCAATAATAACATCTTAGCTGCAGCATCCATGTCACAATCTGAAGAAGCTGTGGCCACACAATCTAGTGGAGTTTATGACTGGAACATGCTTAAACAGTCATCATCATCAGAAACTGAAGAAGCAGTAGCCAGACAATCCGGTGGAATTAACAACTTCAACATGCTGCTTACGGAATCTTCATCCATGGTAGAAGTTGCCACCATGCAATCCGGTTGGATTAATCATCACTTGTCATTAGAACCACTATTTGCTTGGCCTGAATGTGACAAGGTGGATTCATCAGTTGTCACCTTGCCACATGGTGAATCGATCGGACACAACCACTCACTGACCCAATTCGAAGGATATGATCATCAGTGTCAAGAATATGCGAGCAGTGGCAACAAGATAGTATCTGCAGCATCCATAGCAGAATCTACAGAACAAGTCCCCATACAATCCGGTTGGATTGATGACTTGAACATGCTTAAGGAAGTGGTATCAGTACCACCTTTTACTTGTCATCCTGAATATCACACTTTGGATACAACTGTGGCATTATCACCTTTGCCACCATTATCACCCTTACTTGTGGGAGGAGAATCAGGGACGACATTGCACTGTGGAGAAAACGAGTTTGAATGTCAAGAACAATGGAGTCGAGCTTCGAAAGCATCCATGGCTGCTGATGCAGGAAGTATCAATTGTAGTGATTGGGGACAGAGTTATGCAGAGATGCTGAAAGGTTTTCAGCAAGACCCACCCTCTTGAAGAGAATGAGATTTCCATGTTGCCAAACAAGTGGGGTGCTCATAATCTTAGTGATTACCTTGGCAACTGCGATTGAATAGGAATATTTTTTAGATTTTTTGATCATCAGAAAGTTATTTACATCCAACTGTATCAAAAAAACCGATTCTTTCATTTTTTATTTGATTTTTTGTTATCATCGATTTTTTAGATCTTAGAAAATTTTGAGTTCAAAATTATACAATACTACTAAAATACAAATCAAATTAATATCAAAAGGTTTGGTACAATTAATTAAATGAACAATGTATATAGTTCTAGTATAATTACCTCAGATTGAATCCATACCATTCCCCTACCATCTCCAAGACATAAACATCGCTATATACAGTAAGTCATCCATCGAGAAGAGCAATTAAACACACATAATAAAACATCCGGTAAAGCTAGTCAAAATAGTATAATTTGTACGAATAGTGAGAAGGATCCTAGGTACTATGGCAACTGTGGCCAACAGGCAGAGTAATAATATGGTAAAATACAGAACAATAGTATATTGAATTCAATCCTAATTATGACTTCCATAAAATCCTCCCATAATGTTGTTTATTAATTAGCTTCGATGTGCCTTATTTGACTATGCATAATTACTTCATGCCATAGAGTTGATGTTGCAATTTGCAGGTTATTTTTATATGTATTCTTGGCCATAAACGTGTCTCAGATATTTTTTTTTTAAATACTGCCGTCTAAATTTATGTTGATTTTAGAAGCTCTTTATTTGATTCTTCATGAAAATGAGAAATCACGTAATTGTCCTTTTATGTTCAATTGGAATTGCTAATTTAAGTTTGTGTAAGTCTTGATTTTAGTCTACTGAACGAATCAAGACAATTGATTGACTTGNGGTAGATTTTTTATTAAAATTATGAAAACCAGTCTTGCTTATCCAATTTCTACTCGAACCAAATAAATTCTTTAAGGATCTCATTCCTTTTCTTGTTAGCTAACCAAAATTAAATGACTTGATTATCAGGTGAAATTCAAGGACTATGTCCTTTGCTGCATCAAGAAGAAAAAACTTCCGGAAAGACATGTCTCACGGGAGAACTTGGAAGAAACAGCAGAGAATTACCAATCAGCCATGGTAGTCGCTGCAGAAGATGATTTTGAAGTTGCTCCATTGCCAAACCACAAATTGATTCAGTCGGGCCCCTTGTTGTTGCCCCAGACTGAAGGATACCAGCTTCAAGATTACACAGCCAATAATAACATCTTAGCTGCAGCATCCATGTCACAATCTGAAGAAGCTGTGGCCACACAATCTAGTGGAGTTTATGACTGGAACATGCTTAAACAGTCATCATCATCAGAAACTGAAGAAGCAGTAGCCAGACAATCCGGTGGAATTAACAACTTCAACATGCTGCTTACGGAATCTTCATCCATGGTAGAAGTTGCCACCATGCAATCCGGTTGGATTAATCATCACTTGTCATTAGAACCACTATTTGCTTGGCCTGAATGTGACAAGGTGGATTCATCAGTTGTCACCTTGCCACATGGTGAATCGATCGGACACAACCACTCACTGACCCAATTCGAAGGATATGATCATCAGTGTCAAGAATATGCGAGCAGTGGCAACAAGATAGTATCTGCAGCATCCATAGCAGAATCTACAGAACAAGTCCCCATACAATCCGGTTGGATTGATGACTTGAACATGCTTAAGGAAATGGCATCAGTACCACCTTTTACTTGTCATCCTGAATATCACACTTTGGATACAACTGTGGCATTATCACCTTTGCCACCATTATCACCCTTACTTGTGGGAGGAGAATCAGGGACGACATTGCACTGTGGAGAAAACGAGTTTGAATGTCAAGAACAATGGAGTCGAGCTTCGAAAGCATCCATGGCTGCTGATGCAGGAAGTATCAATTGTAGTGATTGGGGACAGAGTTATGCAGAGATGCTGAAAGGTTTTCAGCAAGACCCACCCTCTTGAAGAGAATGAGATTTCCATGTTGCCAAACAAGTGGGGTGCTCATAATCTTAGTGATTACCTTGGCAACTGCGATTGAATAGGAATATTTTTTAGATTTTTTGATCATCAGAAAGTTATTTACATCCAACTGTATCAAAAAAACCGATTCTTTCATTTTTTATTTGATTTTTTGTTATCATCGATTTTTCAGATCTTAGAAAATTTTGAGTTCAAAATTATACAATACTACTAAAATACAAATCAAATTAATATCAAAATGTTTGGTACAATTAATTAAATGAACAATGTATATAGTTCTAGTATAATTACCTCAGATTGAATCCATACCATTCCCCTACCATCTCCAAGACATAAACATCGCTATATACAGTAAGTCATCCATCGAGAAGAGCAATTAAACACACATAATAAAACATCCGGTAAAGCTAGTCAAAATAGTATAATTTGTACGAATAGTGAGAAGGATCCTAGGTACTATGGCAACTGTGGCCAACAGGCAGAGTAATAATATGGTAAAATACAGAACAATAGTATATTGAATTCAATCCTAATTATGACTTCCATAAAATCCTCCCATAATGTTGTTTATTAATTAGCTTCGATGTGCCTTATTTGACTATGCATAATTACTTCATGCCATAGAGTTGATGTTGCAATTTGCAGGTTATTTTTATATGTATTCTTGGCCATAAACGTGTCTCAGATATTTTTTTTTTAAATACTGCCGTCTAAATTTATGTTGATTTTAGAAGCTCTTTATTTGATTCTTCATGAAAATGAGAAATCACGTAATTGTCCTTTTATGTTCAATTGGAATTGCTAATTTAAGTTTGTGTAAGTCTTGATTTTAGTCTACTGAACGAATCAAGACAATTGATTGACTTGAAATTTGATTTTTATTGTAGAAAAAGGTTGATAGGGTCACCAAATTTATTTCATTTTGACTGACAGTGTTTTACTGGGATGTCAGTGGAACAAAGTAGGGGCAGGGGGTGTAGTCTCTATCCCTATACCCACCTAAAAAAACTCCGTTCATTCCTAATCTACCCCGTTAACGGGTATAATTTTCATCCCCATCCTCGTCTACGGGTAAATTTTTAATCCCCATCCCTGCTTCTCGTGTACCCGTCCAAACCTAACTCCAAGCTTAAACTAACATAATCCAAAATTCTAAATAAATCTAATATTTTAAATAATCCAACAAAATACTAAATAATCTAACATCATTTAATACAACATAATGGCTTCACTCAGTTTTCTACTCTAAGGGGGGTTTGATAGATCTCTTGCTCTAAAAGAACACCCCAAGTGATAGGTAGAAGGTTACACGATAGCCTAATACTAACATATGCTATTATTCTGGAACTGCTAATTTTTTGACCAGACATAAAAATTTGGATTGCAAAAGACAATGATCCAGTGAGTAATTGCAAATCTGCAAAGTATGGGTACAAATAAATTAGTTGCATTATTATAAATTATCTAGAGTTTTCAAACATGAGTTCAGATTCCCAAACCTGAGACATGCGAGGCCTTGAATCAGGGTCTCGACGAATGCACAAGGAAGCACAATGCATCATGCAATAAACCTCTTGCTCCGAATTGGTGTTCCTTAACCATGGATCAATTAGTTGCCCAATGGCATTTGCTTCTAGCAAATGGCGTGCCTGCTCCAAATTAAACTATGAGCAAAACCACCAACAAATTTACAAAGTTGTCTTTGGTCAAAGAGATACCATAAAGATACAAAATAGGCAACGTTCACCAGATCAACAAGATAGTGTAGAAGACATCTCATTGCTCCTCTTGGAAATAAAATATTTTTCAATATAAATTTCATATAACAAGAAGCACCAACATGTAATGTTGCCAACATAAAAAAACTAGAGCTCTGAAACACATGCCCATTCATTGAGGCACTATTGGCCCTTGGGCCTTTCAATATTTACACCTTTCTGTCCGGTGATGAGCTCCACTAATACCACTTCGAAAGAGTAAACATTAGTCTTTCAGTGATTTGGCCACTTTGAGCATATTCAAGAGCCAAATATCTAAATAAGAGAGAAAAAGGACGAATGGAGGGCCTGGACTCGTTCACTTCACTCCCTCGAATCCTTCCGTTGATTGAAAGTGGAGGGCTTAGACTGGATGGACTGAGTGGAGATGGAGGCGGTGGACTTGCTTATCGGAAGGAATAAAGGAGTAAGTTAGGACTTAGGGTTGATCATATATTTAATTATATAATTACATAAATAAATAAATAAATAAATAAATATATATATATATATATATATATATAACGGGTATCGCGGGCAAGGAGGGACGGGACGGGGTAAGAATAAGTCCATTTTCGCCTTCATTGTTGTACGAGTTTATACAGGTATCTCCGTATACGTCTACCGTCCAATATATATATTTCATCCCGGTCCAAACGGAACCAGTTTGAACGAATACCCATTTTTCTCTGATCCACTACCATCTCTATGTTCTACTTACATTTTAGGTAATGGGCACTACAAGAAGAAATTGAGATTTGAAGAAACCTTTGGAGCAATGTGACCAACCGTTCACAAATTTCGGATACGTAAAACAAAATTCTACTTTATTTCGCAATTCGGGTCAGTATATAATTAGAGCAAAGGGTTTTTGGGCTTTTCAATTGGCTGCACAACTTTGGGAAATTGACATGGACAAATAGTGGCACAACATATTGGATGGAATTGTGAACTAATTTATGGTGTTATTTTATTTGGGATTATCTTTTTTTTTTTGACTACTTGAGTTGGTTGTGTTAAGCGAGATACTTCGGATGATGGAATAGGTTTTCTTAACTTCTTGGATTTTAGCTAGTAAGAGAGGAAAAATTGTGAAAATGGTACATTTTACATTATTTATTTGTGAGGAAGTACTTTAATATAAATCTCGAATAATGTTACACTGACTAAATTTTGAGATCAAATTTGAAGTTCAAATGACATGACAGCTGACTATTTAGAATTTTTATTAGGATTCAAATGACATGACACCAATTAAACTCCAACTTGAATAAAAATGTCTCCCTCTGGCACCCATAACCTGAAATCAGGAATGATATATCTAAACTCGATCAAACATTAGGAAGTATTTTACCCAATTAAATTCTTTTAAAAGAAAAATAAAATATGAAAACCAGATTATTTTATTCCCAACAAGTAATCATAAAGTATTTTTCCATGACGAAAAAGGGTGCATATGTCACAAATTCTCAAAAATAAATTAATCGTCTTCTCTGTTAACGATCAACTTGCTATTTTGACAAAAACACATTGTTCGAGTATAGTTTGTCTTACATTCTCCTTCAAAAGAAAGCAATTGTCAAAGTAACCAAGAAAGGGCTTTGAATTCTTCTTGAAAACACAAATCAAATTACAATGCAATTTATTGCAACATGCCACAAGTTATTGCCAAAAACGCTACTACTCAACTGCTGCATAGTAGAACTTGGAACACCTATAGAGTAGCCTAGCAAAGCATACATGCACTACCATGGACATTACACCAGAGAAACTCAACTAGTACAGTAGTCTAGCACAGAATACAAGTATCCATCATGGGTATAACATCCAGGACATTTTCGTTTGTGACCTTTTGGTTATTCAATGTGCTTCATTGTGTGGAAACTGTAAAGGTCACTGCAACATATACAGCTTGAACATTTGCCACTCATGATGTGGAAACTTGGGTCTTTTGGAACTGTTAAAGGCCTACTTGACCTGCAAAAACGATGAGCAAATACAGAAAAGAAGTTAATATACAGATTAGAGTTTTGACAAATCAATGCCCGAATAACTTTGAAGTTGTTAAGGGGCTGAATGTTGGTTGTTGTTTATAAGTGATGCCCTGCAGGCTGTGACGGGCTGTTTTGCCTTGTCCTGGGCTGGCCATTATGGTTGCAGGTATCTGTGACGTGTGATATCAGTGGTGTTAAGGGGCTGAATTATTGGGTTCATTCTCTGTTTTTTGACTACCGATGTCTTCTTGTGACAAATCTGTGGGAGATGCTTTGGGCATCTCTTACCGACTTGTTTTGAGCCTTAATTTTTTGGGTTTTTTTTATGTTTGTCTCTGAGTCATACGTGATTTTATTATACAATTTGTAAGTGATTATCCATGTATACTTGTTTTATTTTAATACATTCTACCTTCCAAAAAAAAAAAAAAACTTTGAAGTGTGGATTTGATTTCGAAGAGTTACTTCGTTTAGTAATGTCAAAGGATAAATGTGTATACGGTCTAAAACTCTACCAACCAGACTAAACTAGGTGCCAAAGGTTGGACGGTGTTACACCGTTTATACTTTTGAGACATCTATTGACGGGCCTAAACTAGGTGTTATTTTTAATGGCAGCGGAATAGATCGAATGAGCTTTTACCTTTGTGGAAAGAAGGGCCTGTCAAATAGAGGCATCAACTGAGCTCTTGGAATCATCTCCTTTCTCAGCATCCGAACCTCTTCTTCCTCGATGATCTGCTCCAATTTCAATGTTGCTCTCAAATTACAGACAAAAATTTGTTGATCATGAAGTTTTCCCAAGAGATTTGCACTCACCTTCTGCAACTTCTCTATTTGCTTCTTCTGGTGCTCAATGAGATACAGCTTGGTTGCAACCTGTATGTCTACTACTGTAAGAGAAACCTTTCGATGACACGTAAAAACAAAAAAAGGGAAGCATCCGAAGCAAACACTTATGGCGACACTCACCGAGTAATTGAACATTGTACGTTTAACAGCTCTCTGTTGAGTGTGGAGCGTGATATCAAGTGGCTTGGTGTTTTCTTTTGTGAGAGGTTTCTGGGAAACCTGCAGATGAATTCTCGGAAGGTAAATAATTTGATTAATCCAAAAAAAAAGGTATACAAATACAATACAATTCAAAACACGCCACGACCCTGTCTCATTTGGGACTGGGAGAGAGAATATGGAGTGCACTTGTAAATTAGGACACACTCACCTTATATTTTTCAATCTGTCTCTCTTTCAGCTGATCATCTGATCTCGACTGTGGACACATCCCAAAGTATATTATTAGAGTAACGTTATAAGCCCTGGGCTATTTCATGAGGTACAACAGATGAAAACTTGTTTGTTCAGAGGTAGAACATATAGCTTTCATTGCCTCACTAGCCGTCTCATGTTTGATGCTCATGCGAGGCACAAATATAATAGATGGTCTTATCGAATGTGGCATTTGGCTCTTTGGCTTAATTTTTTGTTTGTTAAATAATACTAAAACATTCTGAAACATCTTGATATATTAAAATTTGAATGTCAAATTATTGATTTGTTTTGATTTTCATAGAAGGCAAAACGATTTGGTCGTTTCGTAGGAAAAAAAGGAAATTTTGATCCATGTAAAAACAGCTACTTTATGCTGAGTACTGGCAGCATGTGTTCAACAAGGTGCGAGCGCAAGCATAAAGCCATGCTGCTAGCTAGCTTATATTTAAAGGATTGGACACTACTGCTTAGTCTTTCTCAACACAACCTTGTTACGTAGAAAAACTTCTTATATATTTTTGAAGAAAATAGGGACCTTTCCAATCGTGATGCCTCTTCATCTGGTGCCCTAGCCCCAAACACACCCACCCACCCACCACTTCCAAGCATGTCATGACTGGTTGCTGACCATACCCACCAACACGCTTCCTAATTGGTTTATTTGTCATAAATTTTTAATTGATCCATTTATAGCCATTAATTATGAAAATAAAGAAGTAAAACAAAATAATAAAATAAGATGACTTTACACGCGCCACAACCTTATTGATTAAAAAACGAGATATAACACTGAAAAGTAACGTGTTTGTACGATAGCTGGATCTTAGTTTCCACTTTCTTCAAGCTACCTAAAACGTCATGTAGTACAACTCCGACATATAAAAGTTGAGAAACAAATGTTTGTAGTCCTACCAAAGATTGGTTCTTGATGGATTGTTGAGGTGGAATGGATCTCACAACTCCCCTGGCTATAGATGCAATTGCAGCATGTGAAGTACTCTTCACAAGCTTAAACATCCAAAAAAAAAAAGGAGGACAAAGTATGAGTTAGAAGCTGTTTTCAGAGAGAGAGAGAGAGAGAGAGGACTGAGAAGTAGTAGAAATATTGACCTTTTGAGCAGATTTGGTGTTTAGGCTCTCCATGATAAGCAGATGGGTTGGAGTGTAACTAAACTGAACTGTATATAAAAGATTTTGGGGGTTGGTTGGAGATTTGTTTCTGTCACATGGAGTAATGCTTTCTGTTGCTACATCACCAGCATGTTCAGCCATTTGCATGCTCTCATGCACNCGAGTAATTGAACATTGTACGTTTAACAGCTCTCTGTTGAGTGTGGAGCGTGATATCAAGTGGCTTGGTGTTTTCTTTTGTGAGAGGTTTCTGGGAAACCTGCAGATNTGCATTTTGTGGTACCTTTATCCTTTGTAGTTTCTTCAAATCTCCTCTTTGTTTCTATCAATTATTCGACTTATTAGCTAATCAAGACAGGGTTTACTAGTTTATATTTCGAATATAATCCACTGAAATAATATAACAATATTCAAACATCTGACAGTTAGTTTAGTACCTTGATTCCAAATGGGTTCATATATTTGAGTCAAAAACCTTTGAAATCTGGATAGATATTCCAAAAATCCAGCTAAAATCCAAAATACGCAGTCTTCAAAGCTTTTGCATTGATTTGTTTAACTATTTTGGGGGTTCCTTAAGCATGTTTAATTAGCACTTTAGCTTGGTTTTATTGCCAAACCAATCATAGTCAACCCAACTAAGTTGTTTGAGTGGATAATTTTAAGCAAAATCACAACTTTTACCACTATTGGTGCTCATGGATCTAGATTCCATCTATTATACTTTTTCTCGATTTTCTTTGAACAATATTATATCACACATGATATATCGGTAAGAGATCTACTCATATATAATGAGTTTCATTTGAATTCAAAACTAGATAGCAAACGATATATCATTGTGAAAAATCGAGAAAAAAAATATATTGGAAGGAAACTAATTAACAGTATCCATCCATAGCTGAAGAATCCAAAAGCTCAATGTTAGGCATTTCTTGTTAATTCAGTTATTAAACTAAAGCTGGCCTGGAAGGTAATCTTTCGTTTTTGGGAAGTTATTGCCTTCTTGTCAACAAGAATAGGCGCATGACAATTGTCATACAGTTAGATCTTGATTAGAAAATTAACCAAGTGATAAAATGCTTATACATGAAGTAAAAGAATTATGGAAAAGCCCTCATAGAAAGATGATAGAAGATTTCTTCTATTTGAAGCAGAATGGTCTGTTTGGAAGATTTCTTGTCATTTGATTGTAAGTTTGTAACCTTTGTAGTTGTTTTTTGTGCCAAAGTTGTTTTATGAAGTAAAATATATGAACAAAACTTGAGATTAAACTACAATAATACTACTTGAACCTAATTTATTGACTTAGTCATTTTGTGTTATTAAATTAACAGTGGACCCAACTATTAGTTGGGTCCCATTGTCATTTTAATGGTTATGATACCTTAGATCAAGAAATAAAATTAATAAATTAAATTCCAATAACATTTTTTATATAAATATGTCATACTGTAATGTATCCATGAAATGAAAAAGGTTATACAACTTGTGACAGCTAGCATTTAATGTCTAACCAAATTTTACTCCTACATTAGTCTCAAGTATGTGTTTTGTGTCACTTTCAATCCTTATTAATTATTTCAATTTTGCCGCTTTAGTCCGTCAACTTTTTAATTTGTTTCATTTGATTCAATATGATGACTGAAATTGACTAAGGGAGGTGGTCACACACATCTCCCAAAATCATTTTTAAGTGACATTTTTTAAACTTGAAGAACTAAAATGGCATTTGAGAGATCAAAGTGATAAACAAATTTAATTTGAGGGACAAAAGTGACTCCTTGAGTGTTGTCACACGAGACTAATTTCGTTAATCAGTTTAAATATCTTTTTCGTACAAATTTAAAACTTGAGAGACTAAAGTGCATAATTAAAACAATGAGTACTTAAGGAATTAATAATGCATTTCACCCTATTCTTCCTAATTTTTGTGATATTTCCTTTTTGAAGTAAGTGTTTTTCCGTCCTAACGTTCATCAAAAGAAAAATCATTATTTTAATGTATTAATTCTACAAAGGATTTCTGCTACAATTGATAGACTTAATCCCTTTTACGGAGAGTTCTTAGACGTCTACTTGATGTTGAATTCAATTATTGTCTTCTCTCAAAATTTCCTTGGATGATGACAATCAACAAAATTAAAGCAAGTAAAGTGACAGTAAAAGGATTAACAAAAGAGATAAAAAAAATTTTTTATTAATTTTTGAGGTTTCTGGGTTACAACAGACTAATAATATTTTTAAAAAAAATTACTTGTAACTCTAAATCTAGGCTAAAACTACTCCTATAATGCCCAAACCGTGGATCTTTGATGAGTTTGATCATATCTTCTCCTTGTAATTGATGCCCTTTTTATAGGTATCTTTCCATTGACGGTTACTCTGGCTTCTCCAAGCAGTTTCTTCTCCAGTTTCTCCCTTGTCTCAACTGCAACTTTTCAAATTCTTGGAGCCAATTTGATGCTGCTAGTTGCTGTCTTTTCAAATTCCAAGATAACCGTTTCACTCCTTCCCTTACATAGGTAGTAATTGCTCTTGTTCGAAGTCTTTTCAAATTCCAAGATAACCGTTTCACTCCTTCCCTTACATAGGTAGTAATTGCTCTTGAATTCGAACATGCCATATCGACTGGCTACAAATATGTTTTTAATTAAATGAATGTCTTGTTACAAATTCTTTTGCTGACTTTGTTCAATAGACATGTGTTCTTCACCGCCTCTTTAAAGAAAAATGTAGAATTTGATCCAAACATAATATTTGTTTTCTATTGCTAATATTCTGTCGATTTAACTTCATTTTACGAGAATTAATAATCAGACATTCAATTCAAGCTTAAAGCAGAGTCCAACTTTCAGTAAAAATGACTCACCTAGCACCCATAAATGGAAATGGGGAGTGATAGATTTGAATTCGATCAAAAGTAAGGAAGTATTTCCGGAAGGATGAAGTAAGGGATGCCTTTCTTTCTAGTAAGAAGGTCATACCAATTAAATTTTTTAAAAGAAATATAAATATAAAAATTGGATTATTTTATTCCCAACCAAGGGTCACCATATAGCCTTGTACATGTTAATGTCTAGCACTTGAGATCTTACGGAGTCGATGGGTGCTCAAATGTTGTTAATCACCCAATGAGGAGAATCATCTTGGATCATAATCTTACTGATCATTGCTTGGCAACCAAATAAGAATCGTAATGTTGATAATTGTTATCTAAAAATATTAAAGCTAAACTCATGTTCGATAAGATTCAAAAACTTTATTGTTAGTTCACCTAATTTAACACAACAGTAGATCATCCCCGTTATATATGGTTGAGGGACTTGGTCATCAATATGGGTTCTAGTTAGGATCTATAGTAAATGATATACTATTAAGTGAAATAAATTTAAAAGGTGATTGAGAAGATTTCAATCTTGCTCGATAGCATCATGTCGATTTTATGTTAGGTATCACGTTGTATTAATATACTAGTAATTTCTCGTGCTTAAAAACACTATATAACACAAAACCATCATTAAGAGAAATGAAAATTCACTCAGAAAAATTAAAATGAAAGCGCCTAAAGTAGTGATATCAATCAAGTCAATGTTATATTATCTCGGGTTCATGTTAAAAATCACTCAACCCTACCACCACTTATCTAGTTAATCGTGCCAAATGACCTAGCACAAGTGTTTTAAAAGCCGGTGAGCCAGAGCCCAAACCAGTCAGATTATTGTATTAAATTGTTTGAGCAAAAAATGTCCAAACCGTTCAACTCTGACGGCTTTTAATAAACCGAGCGGGTCCAATATAAGGCTATAAAAATCACCATCGCCACCATTTAAATGAACTATAACTCTACGGTTGGTTAGTAAAGTTTTGATTGTGCATAATGGTTATTCAGATAACAATTGATCCGATAACGAAAATGGAAGCTCTCAATCCCATTCCTTGCTTATTCTTCCTTACTGGATTCCCATCCACATCTTCCTCTCCACTCTAACTTCCTTTCCTCACCAAAGCTTCCTAGCTTTAAAATGAACCCAATCCCTAACTCTAACTTAGGGTTGATGATTTTCGCACAGCTGTGGGTGATTCTGCATCCCTAATAGCGGATCCTATATATCTGTCCACCAAGAGCAAAAATAGCCACCATTATTGCTCCAAATGTGCTGCAGGTCAAGATGGTAGGGCCCAGGAGGAGTTATTGCTCAACCATCAAAAGGAATTACAAAAACAGTAATGTTAGACTGACCAAATTTTGGGATCAAATTTGAAGTCCAAATGACATGGCAATTAATTATTTGAAGTTTTTATTGGGGCCTAAATGATACGACACCAATCAAAAAAGCCCAAATCAACTGCCATGTCATTTGGGCTCCAAATTTGATCCCAAAATTTGATCAGTGTAGCATTACTCTTACAAAAAAGAGAAGTTACTGATATGCTCTCTCTCACTAATGCTGGTACTACTACCGAGTGTGTGGAAGGTATTAAAGTATCAGCCAACAAAAGTAGACTTCAGAAGGCTGAAACTCTTGCTAAAACAATGGAAAAACCCCTATGCTCAGCACAGATCTGGTGCTAATGTCCCGTGGAATCAAATGCTTAATGAAATTTGAGGACAAGGAGGCAAGAACCAAAGTGGTGGAAGATTGTGCCATATGGAGAAACTATCTTGTGGGATACGTTATAGAGAAAAAAACAATCATTCTCAATAGTGTCTTTCATCTCCCATAAGATTAGGGACAAGATGGGATTATTGGAGGTCTTGGCTAATGAACATGTGTTTTTCTTCTTCAAATTTGAGGACAAGGAGGCAAGAACCAAAGTGGTGGAAGCTAGTCCATGGTTCTTCCAAGGTATGCCATTATTCCTTAAGAAATGGCAGTCAGATATTGTTGTTTCAAAAGTGGACCACTCTCTCATTCCAGTTTGGGTGAAGCTGCATAATATCCCCTTGCAGTATCGGACAAATAAAAGAATTAGCTACATTGCAAGTGCAGTTGGTAAACCATTATATGTTGATTCACTAACTGCAATTAGGAAGTGGATTAGCTTCGCACGTGTATGTGTGGAGATTAATGCTAAATGTGATCTAACTGAGTCATTTGACCTACAGTTGGACAGGTGTGATGATAGTGGTAACCCTA